AACCTAAGTGATACCCTCTAAAAACCGCTTTTAGGGACTGGCAACTGGCTGATTACGCTTTATTGTGCCGTATCGGAGCGACCCCCCTTGGGTGAAAGGAGGGCGCTAGGGCGGCTTTGCCGTAAGACCCAACATATATATAGGTGAGACAATAAATAGAATCATATATAGCTAAAAGAACAATAAAAAAATATGTTTATAATTTCAATACAAAGATCAGGAGTATTCTGGTTGGATGATTCGTATGTTTACCATCTATGGTACCCAAACAATTGAGAAAGTTAGATTTTTTGAAGAATCCATTGGCGACACCGAACCAGTCATCTTGACTTAGTTTCGGGATATAACTATTATTTAGAATTTTTTTGACATGTTTCATTCACAATCCCGCAAATGGTTAAGTCCTCGTTGATAATAGTATGTAAACTTGTAAGGCTACAACCTGATGCTAAATACCTGAAAAAAAAAACACCATGTTTTATTTGTATGTATTTTGAAATTTGCAATTTTTTCAAAAACTGACAAACATCACTACAATTTACCGAAGCATTACTGGCGACACAGTCGCGCCACTGTAGCGCTTCTTTTTGGTAGCACCACTGCAGCGCTTCCTCACGCCTCTAATTTGAAGACGCCCTAAAAGTAAAGGAAAAGGATAGTCTATATTTATATTCTCTATATGTAGACTAGAGGGTTTTTGGTACAAAGAAGGATCCACCACACTACCGTCGACAAATTACTGGTTTTCGAACAATGTTTTTCTTTATCCCCCAAGCACAAAGCTTCTTATTCATCATCATCAGCCTATGTAAATCCATAGCTGGAAATGAGTCTAACCTGTTGTATTGAAGATTCTCCTTAATCGTCACGAATGAAAGGCGGACCGACGCACGCAGTAGATACAGTATTATCGCTCTTCTGATAATAAAAAACCTTTCATCTTTCTTCCTTTTCATCATCATCAACATGATTGCAAGCTTTCACAAGCTAACAGCTGAACATGAGCTCCCAAGAAATACCACAAAACAGGGTCCTGTGCCGCTTGAATACATTGGCTTCCTGAATGTTTTATCTGATCGTCACTGTTATGATTGATGAGGTGATTGTCACTCTCGGACTAATTTCAGTCACCTGAGATTGCCAACTTAAAGTAGCATCGAACGTTATATATATATATATATATATATACATAACATATATATATATATATATATATATATATATATATATATATATATATATATAGTATCGAATACTTTACACTATAACGAGTTACTTTTACGTTACGTTATTTCTAATATGTAGTCATAAGAAACAAGTAAAGGAAATAACTAGATAAAATCTTAAAAATCCAAAATTAAGTTAAAAAACTTACAGCTCATACGTGTATATACATCTCCTTGTAAGGTACATTTTCGAAGGGGTTTTAGGAGGAGGGAAACCCTTATTTTCACTAACCCTATGCTGTCCCAATATTTAACATCGAAAAAATGTAAAGCCCGATTTCACATTTATTCGATAAATTTTTAGACATGGAGGTTACCTTGCGATTCTTTACTGAACCAAAACCGTTCCGTGAGCCGGAGTCATTCCATGAACCGGTCAAATGTAAATCAGCTCTTAAAATAAAATATGTAAAAGAAAAGACTAAGAACCTTAAAGTAAATGTTTCTCCCTCCTATTAGCCAACTTTTAAATATAAAAATGGAGTCTTTAAAAATAGGTATTAGACCACATAATATCATGAATGTTTTTATATACGCTGGTTAGCAAGATACCAGGACCATCAGATACAAGATAGCAGATGACCAGGATTAAGAAGGAATCTTCTTTGTCATTTGAAAGAATGAATGAGGAAAGAGTGACAAAGAAAATTTATGTTGCAGAAGTCAATGGCAGAGTCGGAAGGCGTCCTAGGCGAAAATTTATCGACCAATTGGCGATTTATTGGAAACGGTTAGTACCCTTAACTGTATCGTAGTGTATGGATGTGAAGGGGGGAGGGAGATCGCCAAATGGAAATCTGTGGAGTGTTTTGGATATGGATGTTCATGGAGAATCGTGAGAATACTGAAAAATCTCTATCTATTTAAGTAATTAATTGAAAATACGCAATCAATCTAAATCATTATACAATTAATTCACACACAAAAGCAACATATTGTTTTTAGACATTGTGCTCAAAATAATTAAAACTTTAAAAAATAATAATATTTTACTGCCGTTTTGCGTTTACGTTCTATAGTTTTATTTTTACTTTTTTACATCGACGGGAAAAATCTGTCTAAATCGATTTTTTAAATCGATTATAGACAGATTCTTTTCGCGAGTGAAAATCTGTCAACACTGCGTCCACCTCGTGATCACGACCGCCATTTTGTTTGTCTCTTCAGTGCGAGTGCAGAAGCCTTGTATACGATACGCGTGTTCAGTTTAGTTGATTTTGTGTTGTGTTTTTATTTAGTTATTGTTATTGTAGTTATAACTGTTTGATAATTCTTTCGTTGTTATTATGTTTTAACTGTTATTTGATTTGTTTTTTTTTTGTATTTATAAAAACTATAAAACATGGTAAAGATTTAATGGAAGATAACAAATTAAAATCACCACTTAAGAAAAAAGTTAGAAGATCGATAGTTACACATATCGAAAATTTTGATAACGACGCCATTAGAAACCATATCTATGGCTACTATAGTAGGAACAAATTGCTAACTCTCGATAAGTTGTCAAATACTTTACGAGAATCTGGACTGTTTCACGGCAGCAGAACTTCTTTCTGGAGGGTTTTCAAAAATGTTGGCTTTTCTTATAAAAAATGTGATAAAAGGCGGATTTTGATGGAACGTAGAGATAGCTTTAGCCAGATTTAATTTTCTAAAATCAGCAAAGTCCATTGCCGTTTAGAATAATGTAATATTTCTAGATGAGACGTGGCTAAACGCTAATCATACAGTTGGCAAGATATGGACAGACGACACTCCTCACTCCTCCACAAAAGTACCTAGTGGCAAAGGCGAACGCTTAATTATTTGTCATGCGGGTTCCATGTAGGGGTTTATTCCGAACTGTCTCTTGGCGTTTAAATCTAAGAAAGCTGTGGAATAATACGAAGAGATGAATTTTGTTAAATTTAAGGAATGGTTTTGTACCTTATTGACCAACTTGAATAAGTCATCGACGATCATTATGGATAATGCACCGTATCATTCAGTACAAATAAGTAAGCCTCCAACTTCTAGCAGCAAAAAAGCCGATATTGTGAAATGGCTGAATGACAATAATATTGTCTCTGACATGTCCATGTTAAAAGTTGAGCTGCTGCATTTGGTTGCTATAAATAAGCCAGATAGATTAAAATAGGTATTGGACGAAATGGCTAAGGACGCCGGACACAATGTAATGCGTTTTCCACCCTACCATTGTCAATACAATGCCATAGAATTGATTTGGGCGCAAATTAAAGGCAAGAATTTAAATAAATCTTTTTTATAATTTATTTTTACCTATTTTAACATTTTATCTGTTGCTACATTAACACGAAAACCTTTATTTTAGGTTATGCGGCTCGTAAAAATACCGGCCCACAAAAACACAAACACAACAGCAAACAAAATGCTGTCATTGTTGCAACAAGCTTGTAATAGTGTTACTGCCGCGAATTGGGAAAGTGTGGTTTTACGAACAAAAAATTTGATTTTCGCTGATTGGGACAGAGACATACATATCGATGCCGTCATAGATAACCAAATTATAATAAATACAGGGAATTCTACAGACTATGATGAGGGTGATGACGACGATGCCTACCATGAAATATCGATTTCGGCTAGTGATGATAAATATGTTCCATCTTAATAAAAACATCATGTAATATTATCTAATTAAAATTAATAAACAGTTTTATAAATTTTAATTTGATGCTTATCCTTTTTCTGTCAATACGATTTTAATTTGTTCGTTATAGTAATCGAAGATCAATATCGTCAAGTATCGACTATAGCTGTACTTTACTAGTACTTGATTATTGACATCTGTCAAATGGGACTTCGTAATTGGAATAGAGTATATGTACTATAACAGACAGTGCTAACAAAATCTGTGAAGCACAGAGTACCAATTTTATATGGCACAGACTAAACCCTTAGGCTTCTAAAGCGTGTTGCGAACAATCAAGTCTCTTTGTCTATTACAATGCTTTAAGTTAACCATTTTTGACTGGATTAACTGCAATCTTTGGATCGTCAGCCTATAATTAGTTAGATTGGTTCACCCCGTGGTGCTGATCAACATACATGAGGCTCTTGCTTGTTGATTAGTATGTGGATTTGTATATTTATTATAGTTCATAATTCCATCTGATGGTAAGTGGCCCATACAGACAGCTTTATTCTTGACTTTCTAAGTCATGAATAAACCAATGTCAAAACTTTGTAATCGTTGACGACTAAGATGTAATACCTTATTACCAGTACAAAGGGTCCTCAATAACCGCATTTGTGATAATATCGACTATTTCGCTGACAACACTGACACCAGCGGGTTCATAAATAATAATTCACCGATCTCCCAGGAAAATGCTCGCTTGGCAATTTGTTGGAAGGGACTTTCATCAGAATTGAAATGAAAAATTTGCGAATAATTATGATAAATAGGTAGCAAAAAAAATATTTAAGGTTTTTCGTCGTGGGTAGTTGGCTAAACAATATGCTTTAAATCTTGCTCTTTATTTTATTTTATTTTATTTATTCTTTATTGCATTCCTTATTGATATATAAGAATACAAGGGCGGACTTAATGCCAAGGCATTCTCTATTTAAATTTTAAAGTTTAATGGTATTTGTCTCATTTTTTTGTTAAAATATAATGAGTAACTAGTACCACCCACCTCAAGAGTTTTTCCAAGTTCATGCACATAATATCACCACTGGCACAATCTTTTATTTTCTATTCAACATCAGTGTCTTACGAAGTAAATGGAGTTTTCAATTAAGGATAGCATGGCCGAAATTATAGAGGTATTCCTTATGAGAATAACAAACTTCGAAGAAGAGTTACGTAAATCTCCTCATTCAATTCCCAATACTGCATCACTTGCTGCGGAGTTCACTTCATTCAAGGCTTTTGTGGTCCAAGCACTTAGCAGTCTACAGCAGCAAGTGGAGCTCCTGGCCCATACTGTGGATCAGTTAGAAGTAAGGAGTCGTAGGAAAATGCTTCTATTTCAAGGTATACCAGAGAACTCAAAAGAAAATACTGCTCTTACACCGTGACAGTCACATAGTAGATAAATAAATATGCAGTATGTAGACCGTAGACAGAGAAACCTATAGACAAATTGACGCATTTTTTCGCGTTCGCACACGAAAAACATAGATTTATGCGTACGTCGTACATAGAAATGAGACAGAGCCATGTGATTGTTTGTCCCTTTTTCCGTGCCGATTTTTTGTTTAGCAAACTACACTTTGCTAAACAACTTTCACATTTTTCATTCAGAGGCACACTGAAATTATTGGAAATAAGAAAAACCACATGCACGTTATAGCTACATTGTATTTTATTGTTTTTCGAAGTATTTTCCGTTCAATTTAACGCAGTTTTAAATTCGTGCAAATCAATCATTAAAACAGTAATTCCAGTCTGAAGTAGATGTTGACAAAATGGGTGATTTGTACGCTTCCACAGCTGCTTCGGGGTCTTCAAACCGTTGACTGCGTAATAAATCTTTTATTCTAGAGAATGTAAAGAAATCGTTTGAGCTCAGGTCAGGACTATATAGAGGATGGCTCATTAGCTCAACGTTTTCCTGCTTCAATAAATCATTTGTCTTCTGAGCCGTATGGGATTATCGTGATGTAAGATGATGCGATGTTTCGGGGAGAAAGCGCAGGTCGTGTTGATCCCCAGGGCAAGTCTGAGGAGTTCTTCCTTCACGTGGTTGCCGCCTGTTATTTGGTCTGGTTCAATAGTAAACAGACAGAACTAAAACACTCAGACGATCCCCTTATCTATTATCCCACTATCTATTTCCCATCCTAGCCCAATCCAAGGTGTCAAGCGTACCGTGCCGATGGATGCGTGGCTGGAGGGAGTCCAGTCCCAAACGGTGCCTATCCGAGACCAGGGCAATTCGGGTAGTATTTTAGCCCTTCCCTCGGCATGCGGGGCTCTGCCGGGGGTGACCGAATATTTCCCTAGCTAATCGTGGGTCCAAAATGGATGAAAATCGACATTTTGAAAAGATTACCGAAAAATCTCCTCTAATGGAACTATCTGTAGGTTTGAAAGAGGCTCTTTTAGCCTCACCAATATCCTGCAACACTACGCCCCAACCTGGGACGAGCGGTGAAGTGGAGGGCACGTCTGCAGCCGAACCGCAATCGAAAACGAACCAGGGAGGGGAAACTGATAGCAGCTGAGATAGGAGCCGAAGAGGCCCTCTCTCTCTGCCAGAAGCCCTGGGGCGAAATTCCTATGCCCAAACCTCCCCCAGTTCCGAAGGCGAAAAAACGCAGTCGGTCTGAGGAAGAGTCCCCCAAAGACCAGCCCAGGGAGTCTGTGAAGCTGGCAACGGAGGAGAAGAAGCTCAGCTTCAGTGCCGTAACTGGTTCCGCGCGTATGGGAATTCGCAATTCGAATCCCATGAGTGTGGACCAGATGCAGCTGGTCTTCGCTAAGACAGCCTGTGGGGTGCAGCCGGAAATGAGACCAAAATTTTCGAGTTTCACTCACAAGCCAGGTTGAAATCTGGTAACGTGCCTGAATAAGGCAAGCCAGGACTGGATTGTGGGTGAGATTGGAAAACTGAAACCCTGGCCGGAGCCAGAGCTCTCGGTAATACCCGAAGGCGAATTGCTTAAGCCTCAGCTGGGCATTACGTATTTAACCCGCAGCGAAGCTGACTCTCCGGAGGAGGCGGCTGTGCTGTTGAGGGCGCAAAATGAAGGGCTCAATACCGAGCTCTGGAGGATCTCCATCGTAGGGACGAGGAGAATGGGTTCCTGGTAACCTTTTCTCTGGACGACCCATCGGCGGGGGCTCTTCGGAAGGCAGGCGGGAGAGTCGTCCTTGGCTTTTAAAATGATAACTTTTAAAGTCAGGGGAGACTCTGACGTGGCAATGGAGCCTGAACCGCCCCAACTCTGATTCTCCAAGCCCTCCACCTCTCGAGGTGAGACTTAAACGCCATCAGTGACGAGGACCCAAGGCGCTGATCTCGCCTCGGTCCGACGGCCTCCGCTGTTCCGTCCAGGAGTGTGGGGAGGGGAGGTAGGAGCGGTACAACGAAAGGTAAGGCGGGGGTCATGAGTGCTGGTAAAGGACGTGTTCGTCCTCAACTGGTGGAAAAGACCCCTGCCCCCCCCCACGCCCATAAATTGCTAACCCAAAGGGTAAGACGAGGGTCCTCCAGGCAAATCTTCGCCATGCAGCAGCTGCTTCTGCCGTGGTGGAGATTTGCTTTGCAGACATTTGCTGCATGCTTTGCATGCCATAATGCAAAAATTGCTTTAGGTACGTGCACTCATTTGATCGGGAACAACTGGGGCTTGCGTCCTAGTATGGTCCTATGGCTGTACAGCAGCATAGTGAGGCCGATTCTCACCTACGCCGCTATTGTCTGGTGTAACAAGGCCAACCAAAAGACGACTGCGACAGACTAAATAGTCTACAAAGGACTGCCTGCTTAATGGCAACTGGAGCTATGCGATCATCGCCTGGAGCGGCTCTTAATGCACTTCTATGCTTAACGCCCCTTGATCTCTACCTAGACAAGGAGGCGAGTGCTAGTTTGTATAGGATTAACGCCCAGGGCGGTCTGAGCTTACTCCCCTACAGATTGAGATCCATGCTCGACTCGATTAAGGAATCACCGATCTTATGCATGATCTCAGATATCATGCATCCACTACACACTTTTGATAAAAATTATGCTGAATGGCCAGGTTACCTGTGAGATCGGTAGTCTCACATGGTATACCAATGGGTCTAAAATGGGCCTCGATGGCTTTGGAATTTACGGGGAACGCCCCAAATTCAAACTTACGATGAATTTGGGTAGATATACCTTTATCTTCCAGGCAGAAATTTTTGCATACTTCGGGTGTGGATATTCAAAAACACTACGTCAACAATATAATTTACATAAACTCTGATAGTCAAGCAGCACTACTAGCGCTGGGGTCAAACTTAGTGAACTCGAAGCTAGTTGGAGACTGTATGAACTGTTTAAACGCCCTGGGATGTAACAACAGGGTCGTTTTAAGATGGGTTCCGGGTCATGAGGGTATTGTAGACAACTAATTTGCCGACAAACTTGCACGGAAGGGCTCAAAGTGCACACAATTTGGACCTGAGCCTTCGATTGACCCTTGAAACTCTTTATCACAATAAATCACTTAAGATCTGGTCTGACACACCAGTCTTAAAAAATTCTAATACCTTATTCCGGGCTTTTGATCCCAAACTCGCTTCGGGAGCCCTGGGATTAAGAAAAAATAAATTGGTCATTCTGGCAAAAGCCCCAACTGGACACTGTTGTCTTAAAAAGCACATGTCCATCCTGGGACTAAGCAACTCTATGATGTGTCAGTTCTGTTCCATAACGGAAGAAACGCCTCTACACATCCTAACTGATTGCGGACCCTTAATGCGCAAACGTAACACTCATCTGGGAAACTATGTACTCCGCCCAGAAGAAGTGAAATTGCTCACGGCTAAGCAACTCCTTCTATTCATTGAAGACATAGGGCTTAGCCGTGAACTATAGCCATAGCAGCGATCGCAATATATCTCCTAGGTCGCAGTGATACTGGTCTCTTTCCCTAGACCTGCATAGCTGCTCGCACTTAATTAAAAAAAATACGATACCCATTGGATGATATTGGTGATGGATATTATTACAACGCCACTACATGGTAAAATAATTTTCCGATTCCCTCGACCACATCCATGATATATAACAATAAGGTTTTATTAAAGAGCAACAGTCAAAATCTATATATATCACGCCGCAGATTGTGGCAGCTTGTCCACATCTCCAATCTGACGTGGTGATTTTTTTGTTACATTAACAAAACGTTTTCTTAATAATTTTCCCTAATTTAATACTTCTTCTTCGTAATTTTATTAAATGTATATGAAAAGTTTACAAGTTTACTGTTACAGCGACTCATTATAACCAGAATACGACTTTGAAATCTACGTAATACAAATAATTTAATATATCATTAATACGTATTTGATAATTGTGTTAGGGAGTTTCCTGAAAGTTTAATTTGATTCTCAAATTAATTTCAACTTTAATTAGTTTTTGTCCCTCGTTTATTTGGTGTCATATTAATCTAAAATCTGTCTAAACTTAGAAATCGTTTTAGTCGTGTGATGTCGTGTGTGCACGTAGGAAAATCCATTACCTTTATTGGCTCCGTGTGTGACTTAAAAGAAGACCACAAGAGAAGCCAGAAAACCCTTATGTCTTATGATGCTATAACAATCTAATTTACATTATAACAGCCTATCAAAACTTCACTGCTGAACATAGGGATATCCATAGATTACCTCATAAGGGGAAAATTTGTTATAGTAACAAAGCTTGACAGGCGAGTGGAGAACCGTAGTTTTTTATTCTTTATTAGTTACTAGGAAGACGCTGCCACCGACATCATCATACATCGCCACTACACGGCAAGTATCTTGTTTACACCAGACGTCTGTTTATATACACAGATAGACATTGGATAGCAGGTACAAAGCTGCAAGATGTCTTTTTAACGTAGAATAAATGTAACACGCAGTCCTGAATGTTAATTGGATGATAGAGCCTATAAAAACTATACTATTATCCTTATATATCTCAGAGGCCTCATCAGCAATAAGGTGCTTCGCTTTTTTTACAGTCACCATACGAAATACAGCAACACGTTTAGTTGCTATTTCAAGCCCGTATTCTGTGAGAGTGTGGTCAAGTCGACCCATTTGTGCTACCACCATAATATAACTGCAGTATGGCTCTACCACCTCTGGCATTGCGATCATCAATCCGCATGCTAAGCATGACGAATATGGCATATCTTCCTTACAACGAAAGAGGTCCATAGTGAATGATGTACTCGCCATTAACGTCAAAACCGTATCCTCTCCAGTCAATTGACTGGCTAAGCTACTGAGCTTGAAAATGTCTTCTATTACAGCGGTGATGAGTTTCAGGGATATTCAGTCACCTTGTCTTACACGTCTCTGCAGTTGGATAGGTTACGTACTCGTACTCTGG